TTTTTTTAATTAAAGTGTGATTGTATATACACTACTACTTTTTAATCCCACTTTTAATTAAAGTGTGATTATTTATATATATTTTTAATCACACATTCTAATTAAAGTGTGATTATTTATATATTTTTTAATCACACCTTCTAATTAAAGTGTGATTATATATATACTACTTCTTTTTAATCACTCTTTTTAAATAGGTGTGATCATTATATATATTTTTAATCACACATTCTAATTAAAGTGTGATTATTTATATATGTTTTAATCACACCTTCTAATTAAAGTGTGATTATATATATACTACTACTTTTTAATCACACTTTTTAAATGAGTTTGATTATATATATATTTTTAATCACACAATCTAATTAAAGTGTGATTATTTATATATTTTTTAATCACACCTTTTAATTAAAATGTGATTATATATACATTACTACTTTTTAATCACACTTCCTAAATAGGTGTGATTGTATAAAATATTTCAAATTGATTTTTATATAAAATATACAATTCACAAATTTTTAATCACATTTAATCTGATTGAGTGTGATAATATTTTTTTTTTATGTCACTTTCTATATGTAGGGTAAATTACACTGGTACTCCCTGAGGTTTATGTTTATTATAGTTCCCCCCTCATGTTTTAAAAATTACATCTCCCTTCCTGAAGTTTAAAGTTTCATTACAGATTCCCCCCTTAGCAATTTAATTTTTTTAAATACCAATTTTGCCCTCACTGAGTAAATTATATTGACACCCCTCACATTTTAGAAATTACAATCCCCTTCCTAAGGTTTAAAGTAGTATTATCAATTGCCCCATCGGTTAGTATTAGTTGGAAAAAAATTTATTGAAAAAAAAATTAATTGGAAAAAAAATTAATTGAAAAAAAAAATTATTAGTAAAATTTTTAAATTTTTGTTTAAAAACCCACATAAACTCATTTTTTAAATTTACCTTTTTCCTCAAATTTACAAACTGAGACAACCATTTATAAATCAAAAAAATTATCAAACAAGTTTTTATGACAGTTTTTTAAATTTTTGTAAATATAAATTGAAAACTGAAAACGAAATGATTAACAAACAGGTTTTAGATGGTAAAAATGTCGTAAAATTAACAAATAATCAAATAAGTTACCAATATAAGAAATGACTTATCAAAAGATTCTTAGGCTATGTATGGCTTGATTTTTGGAAAAAAAATTAAAAATTAAAAATTAATTTGGTTAAGAAATAAAAAATAAAAATAATTATCATTTTTATATAATTATTATCTTTCGAGTGGTTAGAAATAATTTTTTACAAATTAAATTAAAACAACCATACGTATGTATATAACCTGCCCAAAAATTAAAATGGTAATTATTTTTTACCCTTAAATGATAATTATTTTTTATTTTTTATTTCTTCACCAAATTAATTTTTATTTTTTTAAAAACAAATTATAAAAATCAAACCATATGTGGCTTAAGAATCTTTTGATAAGTCATTTCTTACGTTGATAACTTATTTAATTATTTGTTAATTTTACGACATTTTTATCATCTAAAGCCTGTTTGCTAAGGTGCCGTTTGGTAACACTTACGTTTTCAGTTTTCTGTTTATATTTACAAAAATTTTAAAAACTCAAATAAAAACTTGTTTGGTAATTTTTAATTTATAAATCAGTGGTCTCAGTTTATAAATTTGGCCAAAAAATGTAAACTCAAAAAATATGTTTCCGTTTTGAGTTTTGAGTTTTGCTTTTTTTTCCCACCCAACACTAGCCACCACCCTCCACCATTTTCCACCACCGTTTTCTGCCACCACCACCCCCCCCCCACCACCTCCTGCCACCACCACTCACCACCCACCTGCCACCACCACCCACCAGCCACCATCACCCATCTGCCACCACCACCCACCACCACCCATCACCACCCGCCACCCATCTGCCACCCACCACTACCCACCTACCACCACCACCCATCACCACCACTACCCATGTGCCGCCACCACCCAGCACCCATGTGCCACCCACCACCACCCAGTTAACATTGTGTTTAAATAGGAGGAAACAAATCAGTAAAAGAAAAATTAAGGAAAAAAAATCAGTAAAAAAGCCCGGTAGGTTCAAACAAACCGGTAGGTTCAAACCATTAACGAAGAAATGGAAAATCGGAAGACAAAACCAGAAGAGGTGGGAGGACCAGGTGGTTAACCGGCCGGATGACCCGAGGGACGACCGGCCGGGTGTCCCAAGCACTGCCGCTTCAGGTTCTGATCGATGAAAGGTTCAAACAGTTCAAACCATTAACGAAGAAATGGAAAACTGTCTCGCACCAGGCGGCCTCGCCAGGGCTCCCTCAAAGGCGCGAGCCGGGGTTCAATCAAGGTCCGCCATTCCTGGACCCTCTGGTCTACCCATTATTGGACTCGTCTTTGCTTTCGCTGGCTCTTTGACTCTCGCAAATCTCGCTAAGACCTTCGAACCCGTACCGTTGATGCCTTTTTCGATTGGGTTCACTCGTTTCATCATCTCAAGCCACCCAGACACAGCCAAGGACATTCTAAGCAGCTCGGCTTTCGCAGATCGGCCTGTGAAAGAGTCGGCTTACGAGCTTCTCTTCCACCGAGCAATGGGTTTCGCTCCATACAGTGAGTACTGGAGGAACCTGAGAAGAATCTCGTCGACCCATTTGTTCAGCTTGAAGAGAATCACTTGTTTCGGCGATTTTCAGCAAAAAATGGGGATTGAAATGGTGAACCAAGTCAAGGGTTTGATGGAGAAAAATGGAGTGGTTGAAATCAAGAGAGTTTTACATTTTGGGTCTCTGAACAATGTGATGATGAGTGTGTTTGGGAGGTCCTATGATTTCAATGGATGTGATGGGTTTGAACTTGAGGGTTTGGTGAGTGAAGGGTATGAGTTGCTTGGGATATTCAACTGGAGTGATCATTTTCCTCTTCTGGGTTTGTTGGATTTGCAAGGTGTGAGGAAGAGATGTAGAGAGCTTGTTTCTAGAGTGAATGTGTTTGTTGGGAAGATCATTGAAGAACACAGATTCAAGAGGGCTAAAAATGGAGGTGTTGTGGGTGGTGGTGACGATGATGACTTTGTTGATGTTTTGCTTGATTTGGAGAATGATAACAAGCTTAGTGACTCTGATATGATTGCTGTTCTCTGGGTATTTTTCTCAAACACTCTCTACTAATAAACAATCTTTGTATTTGTTTTTTGAATATTTGTTATTTTGATCTTATTATTGTTTTTTGGAGTAGTTCTTATTATTGTATACTGTTTGTGTAAATGCATGGTTGAAGTAATGGATCTGTTTTATGCTCTTTTTGGGACCTTTGAAGATATGGAGAATCAGAATAAAATTTTTCCCTTCTTTCACCTGTTGATATAGAATTTGTGTTTTTGTTATCTTGTTTTGTTTTGTTCTGTTTTCTCCATTTTAGTTGAAAAGGCTAGAAGTATCTATTAGTGGTTTGTGCTTAAAAAAACAAAAGATTATAGAAATCTGTTTTCTAAAACAAGTTTCATGGCTCTGTCTGGTTTGGTTTTCAGTAATCTTTTCAGAATTATTTTTTTCTGAAAATTTAAAACATAATTTGGTGAAAAAAATAAAAACTATTGATCAATTTTTTGGGAGGCAGAAATAATTTTAAATAAATTTGGGTCGTGGTAGTTATATAACTATTCCAGACTTTCCCTTTTTTAAACTTGTTCTCTTTTGTGCTCTTTTCTTCTTCTCTCTTTCATCATTTCATCTCTTTTTTCTCTTTCTATCCACTCTCTACTTATATTTTTTCTTATCTGAAAACAGATACACCAGCACATAATTATTAAAATCTTAGTGGAATTGCTCAACACTCAAATACTAGAACTGTGGGGGATTGTTCATTTGTTTAGTCTTTTGGAGTTGACCTATCTTGACTTGGTATATTAATTGCTTTTCTTTCTCTACCTTGATTTGAGCTTTAATTTTTGTTGGGATTTAGTTTAGTTTACTCTCTATGTTGATGTGTTGCTATAATAATTTTTTGACAAAATCTTTTTAAGGCTATGATTTACTAATATGCGTTTATATATACTGTTCAATCATGCTCCATATGTATATGTCATATTTATATATGGTAATACAAACATTTAATACTAGTAATAATCAAATTCGTTATTTCTTTCTATTGATGCTGCGATGAAGAGTCAGTGTGATGAAAAAATGTTCGATTTTGTCTTTTGTAAGACAAGAACAGTCTCTACAAAAATAGTACGTTTTTTCATATGCTTCTAGCGGTTTCTAAATTAATTTGTTTTTTTTTTATTTTTCAGGCCAGAAATTTCTTGGAGAGATGCAAAATATGACCAAAGAATTCAAGAACTTAGTTTTTTGAAGTTTTTTTTTTAAAATATATGTAATCACAGTTAAAAACGTTTTATTAATTCTTTGTACATATTTTTTAACATTTAACTTTCATTTATGAAATATATGCCGTTATTCCATTTAATATATGGTTGTGATTCAAAATATAGTATATAGTGTATTATATTCTTCAAATGTACGTACAAAAATAATATTGATTATTCTTTAAATATGTCAAATTCTTTTGTTCTAATCACAGGTTTTATTAGTTATTAATCACACTAAAAAGATGTGATCTAAATGTTATTAATCACACTATCTAAATGTTTTTAATCACACTTAAAAGGTGTGATCTAAATATTTTCAATCACACTTAAAAGGTGTGATGAAAGCATTTTTTAATGACACTTAAAAAGTGTGATTAAAAATGACCATTTTTAATCACACTTCCAAAGATCACACTTTAATAAAACTTAAAAGGTGTGATTAAAAAATAAACATCACACAAAAAAAGTGTGATCTTTATCTATATTTGTAGTAGTGTCTTACAAGATGGTAGATATGTAATTATGGTGTTTACTTGCCATTTCTCATGCACTAGGGTTTAAACACTCGGACATTCATTTGGACCCTTTTACACGATGGTAGATATGTAATTATGGTGTTTACTTGCCATTTCTCATGCATTAGGGTTTAAACACTCGGACACTTATTCGGACCCTCTTGCATGATGGCAGATATGTAATTATGGTGTTTACTTACCATTTCTCATGCATTAAGGTTTAAACACTTGGACACTTATTCGGACCCTCCTACATGATAGCAGATATGTAATTATGGTGTTTGTTTGCCATTTCTCGTGCAATGGGATTCGAACACTCGGATACTTATTCGGATCCTCTTGCATGTTGGCCGAGATGTAACTATGCTGTTTACTTGCCACTTCTCATGCATTTGGGTTTAAACACTAGGACACCTATTCAGACCCTCTTGCATGACGGCAGATATGTAATTATGGTGTTTGTTTTCCATTTCTTTTGCATTAGGGTTCGAACACTCGGACACTTATTCGGACCGTCTTGCATGATGGCAGATTTGTAATTATGGTGTTCGCTTGCCATTTCTCATACATTAGGGTTTAAACACTCGGACACTTCTTCGGACACTCTTGCATGATAGCAGATATGTAATTATAGTGTTTACTTGCCATTTCTCATACATTAGGGTTTAAACACTTGGACACTTATTCGGACCCTCCTTGATGATGGCAGATATGTAATTATGGTGTTTGTTTGCCATTTCTCGTGCAATAGGATTCGAACACTCGGACACTTATTCAGATCCTCTTGCATGATGGCTAATATGTAATTGTGGTGTTTACTTGCCATTTCTCGTACATTAGGGTTTAAACACTCGGACAGTTATTCGGACCCTCCTGCAAGATGGCAGATATGTAATGTTGGTGTTTGTTTTCCATTTCTTGTGTATTAGGATTCGAACACTCGACACTTATTCTGACCCTCTAAGATGATGGCAGATCTGTAATTATGGTGTTTGTTTCCCATTTCTTGTGTATTAGGATTCGAACACTCGGACACTTATTCAGACCGTCTTGCATGATGGCAGATATGTAATTATGGTGTTTTCTTGCCATTTCTCATGCATTAGGGTTTAAACACTCAGACACTTATTCGGACCCTCCTGCATGATGGCAGATATGGAATTATGGTGTTTACTTGCCATTTCTCATACATTAGGGTTTAAACATTCGAACACTTATTCGGGCCCTCCTACATGATGGCAGATATGTAATATTGGTGTCTGTTTGCCATTTCTTGTGTATTAGGATTCGAACACTCGGAGACTTATTTGGACCCTCTTGAATGATGGAAGATCTGTAATTATGGTGTTTGTTTTCCATTTCTTGTGTATTAGGATTCGAACACTCGGACACTTATTCAGACCGTCTTGTATGATGGCAGATATGTAATTACAGTGTTTTCTTGCCATTTCTCATGCATTAGGGTTTAAACACTCGAACACTTATTCGGACCCTCTTGCATGATAACAAATATGTAATTATGGTGTTTAACTGTCATTTCTCATACATTAGGGTTTAAACACTCGGACACTTATTCGGACCCTCTTGCTTGATGGCCGATATGTAATTATGCTGTTTGTTTGTCATTTCTCGTGCAACAGGATTCGAACACTCCGAAAGTTATTCTGGCCCAGTTGCATGATGGCAGATATGTAATTATGGTGTTTACTTGCCATTTCTCCTGCATTAGGGTTTAAACACTCGGACACTGATTCGGACCCTCTTACACGATGGCAGATATGTAATTATGGTGTTTACTTGCCATTTCTAATGCATTAGGGTTTAAACACTTGGACACTTATTCAGACCCTCTTACATGATGGCAGATATGCAATTATGGTGTTTACTTGCCATTTCTCATGCATTAGGGTTTAAACACTTGAACACTTATTCGGACCCTCCTGCATGATGGCAGATATGTAATTATGGTGTTTGTTTGCCATTTCTCGTGCCATAGGATTCGAACACTCGGATACATATTCGGACCCTCTTGCATGATGGCAGAGATGTAACTATGTTGTTTACTCACCACTTCTCATGCATTAGGGTTTAAACACTCAGACACTTATTCGGACCGTCTTGTATGATGGCAGATATGTAATTACGGTGTTTTCTTGCCATTTCTCATGCATTAGGGTTTAAACACTCGAACACTTATTCGGACCCTCTTGCATGATGACAAATATGTAATTACGGTGTTTAATTGTCATTTCTCATACATTAGGGTTTAAACACTCGGACACTTATTCGGACCCTCTTGCTTGATGGCCGATATGTAATTATGCTGTTTGTTTGTCATTTCTCGTGCAACATGATTCGAACACTCCGAAAGTTATTCTGGCCCAGTTGCATGATGGCAGATATGTAATTATGGTGTTTACTTGCCATTTCTCCTGCATTAGGGTTTAAACACTCGGACACTGATTCGGACCCTCTTACACGATGGCAGATATGCAATTATGGTGTTTACTTGCCATTTCTAATGCATTAGGGTTTAAACACTCGGACACTGATTTGGACCCTCTTACACGATGGCAGATATGTAATTATGGTGTTTACTTGCCATTTCTCAAGCATTAGGGTTTAAAAACTTGGACACTTATTCGGGCCCTCCTGCATGATGACAGAGATGTAATTATGGTGTTTGTTTGCCATTTCTCGAGCAAATGGATTCAAACACTTGGATACTTATTCGGAACCTCTTGCATGCTGGCAGAGATGTAACTATGCTGTTTAATTGCCACTTCTCATGCATTTGGGTTGAAACACTAGGACACTTATTCGGACCCTCTTGCGTGACGGCAAATATGTAATTATGGTGTTTGTTTGCCATTTCTTCTGCATTAGGGTTCGAACACTCAGACACGTATTCGGACCCTCTTGCATGATGCAGATATGTAATTCTGGCGTTCGCTTGCCATTTCTCATGCATTAGGGTTTAAACACTCGGACACTTCTTCGGACCCTCTTTTATGATGGCAGATATGTAATTATGGTGTTTGTTTGCCATTTCTCGTGCAATAGGATTCGAATACTTCGAAACTTATTCCGACCCTATCGTATGGTGGCAGATATGTAATTATTGTGTTTGCTTTCCATTTCTCATGCATTAGGGTTTGTAGACGTCCCCGAACGCCCCGGGAGGGTGAGTCCCGTTCTGTTCATTTGGGGTCACTACAACTCAGACTCGATTTGTGTCACGGTTCTTAATCTTGAACCAAAGTGTCCAAATCTGGCGAATCGTTTTGAGAAACAGATTTTTGAAAAGAAGTGCCAAACATGGACTGCTTTGCCAGATACAGAGTCGCCACCTAAATATTTTTTATGGGGGAATTTAGGAAACCCTGACTCGGTGCCGAAGGCCACATGTCTGTCATCACCAGACTTGCCTCGGCTCGGGAGCTAGGGTACGATTGGGGAAGGTCAGCTATGAGCACCCCCTCTCGCCCGATCCGAAGATCGGCCTCTACTAACCGTGATATCCATTTTTGAAAACATTATGTGTTCTTAAACCAATTATTAGCCTAGCATTACTATGTTATGCGCGCAGCAAACAAGTATAGACTAGATTGCCTAATTTGGAAATAAGCATTGCATATCCGCTTGTCTCGGAAAAATGTTTTGGAATTTGCTACTCGCAAGTAGGCTAAAACTCGGATTCCAACGAGTGTTTCCAACTCAAGCAACCCAACCTTCACCCACAGGCATTCAAACAGTTTATCACATAAGCATCTAGCCACATGGTAAACATGCTGTCATAATAACATTCACACGCATGCGGTATGCTAAAGCATAAATACTTACATCGTACTCCATGCCAAAACAATAAACCAGTTAGCAAACATGCGTGATCCTAGTTCATGTTAAAGTGGCTAATGCAGCACATACATGATGCAATTAGAGTAGGCTCGGCTTACCTAAACATGGCATGTGAAATGCTACAACTATCACGTATTCAATTTGAAATTGAAGTACAAATGCAGTTAGAATGATGTGCCGAGCCTGGTGCATGCAAGGCAAATGTATGAATGCACGCATGCATTGCATAAGGTATGCTAATTTTAAAGATGCCCTAGTCTACCATCATAAGCGGGTAAA